CGAAAAAATAACTCCAGTATTGCAAAGACTGCCCTAGAGTGGAATCCCCAAGGAAAACGAAAAAAAGGTCGCCCAGTACAAACTTGGAGAAGATCCATCATGGACGAGATAAGAAAACAAGGAAAGTCTTGGAATGAGGTGAAGGCCTTAGCGCAAAATAGAACCCGATGGCGCGTTTTCACTGAAGCTCTATGCTCCACTTAGGAGTTCAAGAACCTTATATATATATATATATATATATATATATATATATATATATATATATATATATATATATATATATATATATAAGCCATCTTCGTAACCAAATTTTTTGTGTACTCATTGATTGATTTTTCCTTATCTAAGTAAGGAATTTGGTTAGTTCTATTACCGGATCTCTCCATTTTACAAGCTTCTTTGGCCATTTTTGTAGAGTCACAGGGTCTTTTTTAAGCTGTTCTAAAATCGGATGATTCAGATATATTTTCCGAATTCCCTGGATTGCACTTAACGAATAGGTGAATATTACTGTCATGTCTTCAGGTCGATTACGACTTTGTTGTACTACCTTGGATATCGCAAGAAGTTCAGCAGAATACATTGAGTAGGGCTTAGGTAGTCCCTAGATAGTGTAAAACCCATTCAAAACCTGTTCAAAACCTGTTCAAGACCTGATCAAGACGTGTTCAAGAGTAAATTGAAACAACTAAAAAAGGACAAATAATTCAAGAAGATTTATTCATCGTAAAATGTAGGTAGATAAATCTTTAAACAGCTATAGATCAGGTCTCGAACAGGTCTTGAACAGGTTTTGAACAGGTTTTGAACAGGTTTTGAACGGGTTTTGAACTGGTTTTGAATTTATGTTAACGTATTTGCTACCCTCTCCCCGTTCCAACGAGCCTGCGTACGTCAGACTCGAACCAATAACAACGGAGATAGCGCCGTTTTGGCACATTGTTTGCGTTTGATTTTTATCTCAACGTGTTCCTCGTCCCCTCCGCTTTCCAACGATACCCTACACGTCACGATTCGACGAGCTGTTTTACCCCCACCACAAAAGAGACAAAAATGGCCAGAATCGATCTTAGAATTTCTTATGGAGATTTACATTTGAAAATGACCTGTTTTGCGCTAGTACTCTTACAGCCCTTTTACTAATACCTCTATGGTAGGTTATCACTCCAGCTTTTGCGCGGTCTTCCGATACTTCTGCCGATTGGTGACTTACCTCTTGCTATTTTGATGACACGTGTCTCCTCCATTTTGCTTATGTGGTTATTTCATTCTTTTTTCTATTTTGAGTCAATTCATTTATACACTGTAGGTTACATTTTCTTCTAATCTGTCAGTTCTCTGTCTCTCTTTCTCTCTCTCTCTTGATCTCTCAGCGTATTTCCTGTAATTCTTCTCAGTACTCTCATCTCTGCTATTTCCAGTAGCCTTTGTGTTATAGCTGTGTCGGGTTTTGTTTCTGAGGCATATATCATTATTGATCTTACTCTCTTTGTCAACCATTTTCCATCCACTCCTGAATGTAGGTCTCTCCCAATTGCTTCCATCTTTCTCTATTATCTCTATTATCATCTCTTCTATATTGTCCATCTTTCTCTGCATTATTATTTAAGATTTTAAATTGATAATTAAAAATTGTCATGCTTATCTTTTCATGAAGTGCATTGAAATTTTCCACTACACTTACTATAACAGGTCGTGGTTATTTTTCTATTGGTTTTTTAGCCACTTTGCGATAACAGCCTCCCATAACTTTGCTAAATTCATCTATTAGATTAAGATTAAGAACTAGACATAATTAGAAGAATTAACCTCTTAAGGCCATTTCGTCGAATTATAAACTTTATTTGTTTATCCTTTCATGTGTAACAAATCAATATTTTCTTATCATTTCTAAACCGTTATAAAAACTATTTAAACATTAGATGTGAAATGTTATTTGAAACTTATAAAACCATAAATTTTGATTATATTTATTGTTTTATCATTGCATTTATACAAGCAGTTATTAGTAGATTAAAATTCGAAAGGTATATTATCTATTATTTACTTGAAACCAATTTAGTCTAAAGCAATTATTAATAAATTCAAAGTAATAATGGTTAATTGTAATGTTAAGGAAGTGAATATTGTTGGTTGTGTCAAGTAAAATCGTTATCTATAAAATTCTATCAAATTAAATCTAGAGCATCTAGAGGAAATTGTTTTAAATTAAATAGATTATTATATACCTGTTTTCTGTCGCTATATAGATGACTGCATCAGTGCAGCACCAGATGATAAAATGGATTCTTTCTACATGAATTCAATAACTTTCACCAAAAACTAAATTTCACACTAGAAATTGAAAAAAATGTCAAATTAATTTTCTGTACCTGACTTTACATAGAGAAAACAGTACTATAACCAGAGAACTACGAACTTCTCTGCTATAACTACTTCATGGTACACCAAAAAAACCTGGTCGTCGAGATATCTGAATTTCAACTCCATGATCCCCTCAAAAGAACCCTCAAAAGAAATCAGTAGTTATCGGACTCAGATTCTTATCAGACTTATCAGATTCTATCAATAGACCTCAGGCCATTAAAAATGCAAAAACAGCACTAACACTTAATTTACACCAACACCACCTTATCGACAACACTTTCATCTCGCGACTGCATACATTTTACAATAACAATAATAACAAAAAAATCAACACATAAAAGAAAACAAATTGCAAATCTTCTGTCCAAACATAACATTATAATTGCTCATAAAGGGCATAATCTTTTGAAAAAGAATTTTACAAGACTAAAAACAAAAACCACTCGCATGTCGTGTATGGAATTCCCTGTTCGAATTGTGATGGAGTATATATTGGACAAACCAGTCAGCTACTTAACTCAAGAATAAGTTCTCACAAATATGACGAAAAAACTCAACCGCCTTCACAAAACATGAAAACGAAAAGAAACATAAATTTGAATTTGACAAAACCAAGATCCTAAAAAGTGAACATAACAATAAGAAGAGGAAGTTCCTAAAGTTATCTTCTTCTTCTTTCAGTATCATGCCCAAGTTTTAGGCGTGGGTAGCTTCCATGACGATTTGTCGATATCGTTATATATTCATCTGCTGATAAGCCAGTCCACTTTTGACACTTTTTTTCAAAAAATTCATGCTTTCCGCATCTTACGTGTCTTTTTTCGTCGAGATCTCTTCGGATTAACATGTTTGATTAGTAACTTTTATAGCAAATATAATTAATAAAACAAAAATTTTTAAGGTCCAAAATGAACTGAATGGTGGCAAATGTGGTGTATGCGGAGATCCTTATACTGATCCTCATCCACAAGCAAATGAAAATACCGGAATATATGGTCAAGGCATTATCGCCGGGACTTATGCCCCTGGTTCAGTTGTTGAGGTTCTAATTCTACTTACTGCGAACCATCTTGGCAACTTCACTTACAGGTAATACTTTTCTTATAAATAAAGTTAACCTTGATAATTTAATTAATAGGCAATTCAGAAAAAATTGGTATTTCAGTTCTTTAGAATTCTATATTCCAACTAGGATTATTTCTTTGTCTTTTTATTTATTTTTATTTTATTATTTATTCTAAATTTGGAATACTGTAAATCCATACATTGGACAACTTTACTGTTAGCAACAAATACACAAGGCACTGAGGATGATCTGTTCAGATTGAAAACGTTCTGCCAGAATTTAAATGTTGACGACACTTTTATAAAGTTTTAAATATTTGTTTGTTTTTATACCACAATACACATGTGTGAAGTGTTTTAACTTCTGTGTTTTTTTAAACGATGGTATACAGCCAATTACGGAGTTTTTTCCCATTAATTTTATGATTCTATATATTCCTAAATCTTCAGTTTTTCCATATCCAGTTTGTTTGTTCTTTGTCGTCTTTCGTTTCTTTCTTTGTTAACTCTGCATCTAAATTTGGTTTGGAGTAAAATATGGTGTCTGATCCACAGCATGCTCCTCGTTGTGTTCTCACATCTGACATACGATTGGCTGCTCTTTTGTCTATCAGCACATGGTCGATTTGATTGGTTGTGGGTTAATCTGATGAAATCTATGTCATTTTGTGCATGTCTTTATGTGGAAAGCATGTGGAACTTATACTCATGTTTTTACTGGTGGCAAAATTTATCAAAAACTTCCCATTCTCGCTTGTTTCATTGTGCAGTGGGTGTTTTCGTGTTGTGCCATAGAACTGCGGATCCTTGTCTATTTTAGCATTCATATCACCCACTATAACCTTGGTGTCATTTTTGGGCGCATTTTTCAACTTCTTAACGGGTGAGGATTAATGAAGAAATCCGAAAGATGATAAACTAGTTTTCTTAGATCTACGATGATGTGAATAATTTGAACATTGATCACATGCAACTAATTCTGACACACTATTAATAATTAACTCATAAAAACATTGAGCGGTGCTGTACTAACTTTAGTATAAAAATTATAAGTGAACTTTCTTGGTGCCGCATACATAGCGATATATATATATCAGTGAATTATTAATTCTTAAACAAACGATGTATTGCCCCTTTTTCATTCGGGCTATACAAAACAAGTTTATTGTTTGATCTAGGTGCAAATATTCGTGGTCTTTCTTCCGTCTTCGTTTTCTCGGTTTTTAATATTGTATTACTTGCCAATGGAATTAAGCAATGACTGATGTATCAAAATGAATACTGTTCTCTTAACTTGAACGCATATCTAATATTAACGATTGCATTGCAGAATGTACTATGAATAAAAAATATAATTTATTATGCATTTCAACTGTTATACTTAGACAAAATAAAAAATGGATTTTAATTCCAACGATAAATTAACCTAATACTATTTCGCTGTTAAGATAAGTTTCTTAACAATTATATTATCATATAAACTCAAAACGGTGAAGTAGGTTCTCAGAAATTCCATCACTGTTTGCTTTTCAGCTTTGTTTAAATTTTTAATTATTATATTATTTTAGTCTTTGTCAACTTGAAGATCCCAATGCCCCTGAACCAGGTGAAGATTGTTTCCAGGACTTACTACTTGAAGATGGTTCGGCTAATTATCGAGTAGAAGAAAAAGATTATATAATATATAATAAAGTTCAGTTGCCAGAATTTAAATGTGAGAGATGTGTTCTTAGATGGACTTACAAAACAGGTAATATTAACAGGACGAACAATATATTAGGTAGTAATTGTCGTATTATTAATAAACGTAGGTTTTATTTGTTGATTTTATATTTTATTTAAGAACTTTTACAATCTGCCACGAAGTGTTTAGACCAGTGGTTCTCAACCTTTGTGTGGCGACGGAACACTTTTAATTACCGAAAAAAATTGTGGAACACCAAAGCAATAACATGCATATATTGATAAACAAATTAGGATTAGCACATAAATTCTGTAATAAACTTTATTATACGTACTCAAATTTGTAAAATTTTACTTAAAATATGAAAACAAAAAACATTTTTAAAATTAACAAAAACGTAATTCTCAAAATACATCATATGAGTAAATACTTCAAATTAGTGAGACACTTGTGCCTGGTGTCGTTTGCAAATTTGCTCAATATCAGGCCTGATGTGGGAAAGAGCTACTCTCATTTCTTGTTCTAAGTTTAGCAGCCTTTCCCTTTTCTTATTTTTAATGTTTGTTAAAGATGAGAACCCAAATTCACATAAATAGGACGTTGAAAACTGTATTAAAATACTAATCGCTTTTTTGGCAAGAAGTGGATATTCCTCTTGGACCAAGATCCAAAATTCCTGAACATTCACTTCTGAAAACTTAATTTTCAGAGTACGATCAGATGACAACGAAATAAATTCTTCTTCTTGGTTCAGAGAAAACTGGAAATTCGCTGTATTACTTGTGCTAAAAGGACTTCTTATCCAGTCATATTTTTCTACGTTCAGAGATGGAAAATACCTGGCAATTGTCTCCTCTAATAGTCATAAGTGTTCTGTAACTCTATGCGTGATTTTTTGTTCTTTATCTTCATCACCTTCATTCTGAAGCAGTGGAAACATATCCATTTTATTTGACTCTAAAATGCGCTTCTTCCAAAATGACAATTTTTTCTGGAAAGCTGACAGCTTGTCCGTGGATGTTAAAATATTTTCATTTTTGCCTTGCATGCTTGAGTTAACGCCATTTAAATAATTAAAAATATCGGCCAAATATGCCACTTTAGTGCACCATGCATCATTTTCAAAATATGTGGTAAATGTGTCATGACCTTCTTCTTGGAAAAAGGTTAACAGCTCCGTTCTAAGTTCATAAATTTGACATAATACTTTGCCCCTTGACAACCATCTAACTTCGGTGTGCAGCAACAAACATTCATACTTTGATTCCATTGAGATGCAGAGTTGTTTAAAAAGACGGGTTTTTAGTGGTCTTGATTTGATGTAATTCACGAAATTAACCACTTGGTCTAATACAGATTTCAAAGTAGCTGGTAGCCTTTTTGAAATTAGAGATTCTCTATGCAAGAAACAGTGCGTAGATATGATATATTCATTTCGCTTTTTTGCAAGGGTACAAAAATCTTTTATGGAGCCTACCATGGAAGGGGCACCATCCGTACAAATTCCTACGCAAAAGTCCCATGATATATTTTTTTTCTCTAAATATGACGTTATGGAATCAAATACATCCTAACCTGTTGTACGTGCTGTAAGTTCTCTGCAGCATAAAAACTGATTGACTATTTCACCTTCGTCGACAAATCGAATAAATCCTAATATATGAGCTTTGCCACTAATATCAGTGGATTCGTCCACCTGCAATGCGAAGTTTTTTTTTGTAAAGTTTATTTGTAACTTTTTCCTCAATATCTGCAGATAAATCAACAATCCTCTTTCTTATTGTATCATCCGACATAGGAATTTTCCGTATTTCGTTTTGTGCATCGTTGCCAAACATAATTTTGACCATCTCACAACATGCTGGTAATATAAGAGATTCTGCAACAGTGTGTGGTTTCTGTTTCAAAGCAATTAATTCGTCGACCTTATATGAAGCTATTTGTGCTTTGTCAGAAATTGTTAGCCACCTTTCAAATTGTTTCGCTTGTTTAGTTTGTGAATTTTTTGAAGTTTATTTTTTGAAGCTACACTAGCGTGTTTGGTAGTAAAATGGCGTTTTAATTTAGCCGGAGCCATTGCGCTATTAGCGAGTGTCTGCCCACAAACAATACACTTGGGAATTGGACAGTCTTTTTCCCCAGTCCAAATGATGCCATAATCCAAATATTCATCCAAATATTGCCGGTTCAACATTTTTTTGCTGCGCTTCGATTTGTCATCAACCCCACTTCGTAAAGTTCCAGTATCTCCGCTGGTGCTCGCTTCATCATCATTAATTATGAGTTGTTCCACAGTAGTTTTTCTTTTAAGTTTGAGAAACTTATCCATTTTAATTTATTCGTCTCTAAACAAAATAATGCAGATGAATGCTTCACATTTTGTATAAAATATGCAATTATTTACCTTTGATAGATAAGCCGTACGTAAACGTTATCATAAAAAAACTGACACAGCGATTTTCACGTATGTGCAATGTAACAAATTCAACATTCAGTTGCAGACTGTGGCGTTGGTGGTGACTCAGATTGGCTGTGGCCACTGCGGAACTCAGCGCTTATAAAATCCAACGTGTGCACTGTGCCGACGCGGTGTTGTCACGTTGGGCAAATGAACATTTACGCTGCAGAATTTTATTAAATTAAAATGTACGTAAGTGGCTATTTTAAAATTTGAAAATATTTATTTGAAAAGAGTAATTTAGCAAAATGGTATGTAGGATTGCGAGTATTTCGCGGAACACTTGGAAGGAATTCGCGGAACACTAGTGTTTCGCGGAACACCGGTTGAGAACCACTGGTTTAGATCAATAGAACAAAAAACAAAAAAAACTGAATTTTGCTGATAATGTCAATTTAGGAATCTCAAAAAAGATGCAAAAAAGTTTACCACTTTTACCCTTGGATTTCCTCCTAAAACCACCCTCCTAGGTAAAAACACAAAAAAATCGATTTACGAAGAATCTGTACGACGTAGTAAAAAATGTTTAAAATAAAAAATGTAACTGAGACAATTTTAAACAAAAACGTATATTATCACTTTTTGTGTAGAATGAACCGTTCTCTCACAAACAACGCTTGAAGAGACTGGGGATTTTGAATGTCAGTTTCACTAGTTATACTAGTTTTGAAAATCTAACATAATTTCACCATTCTCTTAATATGTGCTATTATATAAATATTTTAAACTGATTTGCAGGAAATAGTTGGGGTATATGTGAGGATGGAGAATCCAGACCAGGATGTGGCCCTCAAGAACATTTCAGATCGTGTGCCGATATTGCAATTGTAGAAAAATAAACAGGACCAAAAATATTTCACATGAATTAAAACTTACCAAGTTAGGCCTTTGGTTATCTATAATAACAAGTACTAGTTTAACAACAAATATACATACCAGTATGGAATTCGCAGTTACTTTATAGAAATTCATGTTCAATAATAAAACGAAATACAAAAATACAACAATGTCTTTTAATTTCCCCATAATGTCCCCAAATTTGCATGTTGCCCTGTAGAATAACCTCCCAGAATATAAATTAAGACTATATACGTGTGCTAAACAATTTGTAAATTCTATTATGTTTAAATTTATTTAGTCAATATACAAAAATATTTTGTTTTTGACAAGTCAAAGGAATAATGACAATTTACATACATACATACAAAATTTTTTTGCGAATTTACACATTACAAACAGATATTTAATATTATCAATTTAAGAAACGATAAACACACTAAATAAAAATATAAAAACGTGAAATATCATCATAATAGGCAAATAACATGACCAAACTAGTACTATTGAGTAAAAGCTGTACTTCCTCCTCAATCCTTTAGCCCTTGTCAGGGCGTAGTGACACCCTAAATATTGTTAGTCTGCTGTCTCCATTGACTGCGATCTTGTGCCATATGGACGGCTTCATGTAAGGATTTTCCCACCAAACTCTTCATTTGGTCTACCCGTCGTATTGGAGATCTTCCTCTTGGTCTTCGGCCTTCTACTACCAATAGTTCCATGGTGCCCGTTCTTCTAGCTATGTGGCCGAAGTAAGTTAGGTAAGCTTGGTTTACTTTTTTTAGTAGCCTGTCTTTTATATGAAGCTCTTCCAGAATTGACAGGTTGATTCTATGTTCTGTCCAGGACACGCGTAGAATTCTTCTATATACCCACATTTCGAAGGCTTCGATCTTACTCCTATCGATTTTTTTGAGAGTCCATGTTTCAGCTGCATATGTAGCAATGGGAAAAATAAGGGCATTGACCAACCTGAGCTTAGTATTCCTTGTTATTGTTCGGTCTTTCCATATTTTAATTAATTTAGCAGTTGCGGTTCGGGCCATTCCTAGTCTACGTTTGATTTCTGAGGAACAATCACCATTGTTGGTTATCAGAGAGCTCAAGTATACAAATCTGTCGACTACTTCGAAAATCCCTATTTGGCGTATATGCGGTAGATTATTATTTGCTCTGTCTACAGTCATTATTTTTGTTTTTCCGGTGTTGATTTGAAGTCCGAATTCTTCACTTATTCGGCTTAGCCGTTCGATGATATTAATCATTTCGACTTAATTCGCTGCTAGTATAAGTGTGTCATCTGCGTATCGCAGGTTACTGATTTTTCTGCCTCCTATAGTGATTCCTCCATCCCATTCATCTAGTACTTTTCTCATTATATATTCAGAATATATGTTGTACAATAATGGAGATAGTATGCAACCTTGTCTAGTTCCTTTCTCTGTTTTGAATGCCTTTGAATATATTCCATGTACTTTAACTTTGGCTGAGTTTTTATTATACAGATTTCTTATTAGGTTAACTAGGTGGTTAGGTACTCCCATATTTTCCATTATACTCCAGAGAGGATCCCATTTTACTGAATCAAAAGCCTTTGTGTAATCTACAAAACAGAGCAACATTGGTATGTTATGTTCTCTCGCTTTTTCTACTATCTGTCTGGTGCTGAGTATTTGCTCACTCGTTCCCTTTCCTGGTACAAATCCACATTGTTCTTCGGCTATCTCTGGAAGTAGAAAGTTCTTTAGCCGTTCATTGATTATATGTAGCAGGATTTTGCTTGCATGAGGGATAAGGGCAACGGTTCTGTAATTGCTGCATATGGTTAGTGATCCTTTTTTATGGATAGGGATCAAGGTTGATTCACACCACTCATCCGGCCATTCACCTGTGATCCATATGATGTTGCACATATCCAGCATTACATCTACGCCAATTTCGCCTATTGCTTTTAGAGTCTCCGCTGTTATGCCATCTATTCCTGGAGTTTTATTGTTTCTTAGTTGGTTAAGAGACTTCTCTACTTCTGCTCGTAAAATGATTGGTTCAGCCTCTCTGATTGCATATTTTTTGTGTTCGGAGACTGATGCGTCATCTTTTGAAGTGTCTTTGTATAATTCTGAGCAGTAATTTTTCCAGGTCTCTGCGATGCTCTCTATGTCGGTTTTTACTTCTCCCTTAGAGTCTTCAATGGCTTGAAGTTGTGGCTTGAACTCTCGGGCTAAATATTTAACTTTTTTAAATAGTTCATGACTTTCATGGCGGTTTGCATGTTGCTCCAGTTCTTGACACACGTTATTTATATGGTTGTTTTTATCTCTGATGCACATACATTTTATTTTCCTGTTTATCTTTATCTATCTATCTATCTTTATTTTATTTTCTTTTCTTTCTTTCTTTCTTTTATTTTCCTGTTTAAAAGCTGTACTTAGGTACTCCGTTTATACATGGAAACAATGCTTCAAAAAGTGTGATTTAATTTTAATCTTAAACGATAACAAATGATGACTTACTTACTTTATCTGGCAAAAAGTTTACGCATTAACATCAGTCAAACTTTTACTTTGATTAAACGTTTTATAACTTAAAAATCAACTGACAAAATGATTTGTTTTCCCGAAGTTATAGTCCTAGTTATTCCGTACTGTAAATGGCTATGGAATAGTGCAAAGTAGCACAAAATATACTTGTAACAAGTCTAGAACTTAAGTAATCTGTACGAGCACTCCAATCCAAATTATCATCTAGAAAGATTCCTCATAATTTAACACTATTTCCTGAGATATACTTCCAATCGGAACTAAAAATCAAATTCTGATTTTTCTCTTCATTTAGCTTCAGCCCATTATGTACAAACCAGCTTTTTGCTTTCTGGGTATCATGATTAATATCAGTATTAATGAGAGTTGTATCATCTGCGAAGCAAGCACATTTTTTTGGAAAAGTACAGTGAAATAAATCGTTCAGATAAATAAGAAACAAAGTGGGTCCTAATATCGAACCTTGAGGAACCCCGTATTCAACAGTATTAAACTCAAAATAGATTTTATTAAGAAAAATTGCCTGTTTTCTATTTTTTAGGCATGATCTAAATATATTAAGGGTATTTCTCCTAATCCTATATTTATGCATTTTTTCCAATAGTAATTCATGCGAAACACATTCAAAAGCTTTGGATAAGTCAGACAAATTCAAAGACACAAAATTACTTTTGTGTCTTTTCTGTATACCTAGCTAGTGTGGTGCTACACATTTTTCTAAAGCCATATTGATTACAGTGAAGTATTTTGTCTTTTTCTAGATATTCTATCAAACGAACATTTAGAATACTTAGAATTTTGCCGACAATGGGAATGATTGAAATGGGATAAAATTGGTTTACAATATACAAACAATTTTTAAACAGCAGATTGGGAAGAAAAAGCTATTAACAGAATAAAATTGAGACATATAGTCTATCAAGATAGTGAATGTAACAATAACGCAAATTACGGTACAATAGAAATAAAAAAAAATTTGTCAATTAATTTTTAATAGGTTTTTCTTATCAACTCTTTTGCAATGTCTAAATGTTGTTGTTTTGGTTGTTCAAAAATTCCCAATTATTCGTAAATTTTGAAAATTATGAATAATAGTATTCTATTCCATTTTCTTTATCAATTTAAGTGTTTTTTAAAGAACTTTATGACACATATTTGTAACACGGAACAAGATCTTATCAGAAGTACCTACTTTAGTATCGAGATTACCTGTATCGGACATTTAATATAAAAACCGATTAAAAACTCACTAAAAATCAATTGAGTACATAATATTCATAGTTTCATATTATCTATTGTTACAATTATCATAAATAAGTTACCCAACAGGTTTTCAAACATTCAACATGACACTAAAAGTGGTTTTATTTCTTGGGTTATATCTAGTTCGAGAGATATCTGGACATGGGATGATGTTGAATCCTCCAGGAAGAAGTTCTCTGTGGAGGTTTAATGATACTGCACCTCGAAATTTTGACGATAACCAACTTTTTTGTGGTGGAGCTTATGTAAGTATTTTTTTTAACATTTACGATGTAAATTTTTGTTTATTTTTCTCTGGTGTTATTTTCGTTCCAAAAGAAGACAATTACAAAGGCTGTAGAAACTTTTTATACCTGCAACAATCTAACAATAATTATCTCTTTTATGAGCTATACATTTCTAGAGAAATTATAGCTCTAATGATGAATTTTTCATATGCGTTTAGTGCGATGGATCAGTCCACTGGTCTTCCATTCGGTACATATGGTTACTGTCCTAACAATTTCTGGCCTTGTTAACCACTTGCCTTCAAGATACTTCAGTAATGTCTGTGTCCAGTTCTTTATTTCAAGTGTTCTTAAATGTTTTTCAACTTTGTCCTGCCATTGTATCTTGGATTTTCCTTTTGGTCTTTTTCCTTTTGGTATCCACTTTGTTAATCTTTTTAGAGCTGCATTTTTTACTTTACTGTATACAGGAAAAATATGTTTCAAAAAGGTATGCCATAAATTAAATCACGCATTCCGGTGAACACATTGAAGTTACAAAATAAAAATTGTTTTTTTGCATTATCTCCTAAACTACTTGACATTTTGTAATAAAAATGGACACGTTACTTTTTTATTCTGAAAGCATTTTTCATACAAAAGAAACAACAAAATCTTATTTCTGACAATTGATCGTCGTTTAAGGGAAACGGGTATATTTCAACCGCAAATGACTGGAAATTCCAAATTTGATCATAGTTGAAAGTAAGAATATAAATATTTTCAGTTATTCACTTCAGTTGCAAGTATTACGGTATAGTTTTGTGTTTAACATTTAAATGGCGAATCCAACGACTATGTTTAGTCGAAGGGGAGAACTGTTATTAATAATTAATGAATATAAATATTCAAAAGCCCATGTCTCCAAAGATGGAAAAGTTAGATGGCGATGCATCAAAAAAGGCTGTCAACAAAAATTGTACACAAAGGAAGGTGATGAAAATTATGTTATTCTTGAAAAAGCATCGGAGCATAATCATGCTCCAGATATCCACGTAGACCGGCAAATTTTTAGTAATTCTACAAAGAGAAAAGCTCTAGAAGATATATGTGAAAAACCTTTTAAGATTGTCCACAAGGAATTGAGAAAGGAAAAATTCAGCAATTTACCGCTGACGACGAAAGACATTTCTTGCGTTCGAAGAAATAGGATCTATGCTACAAGACGAAAATTCACACCATCATTGCCCAAGTCACAGGAGGAAGTTCTACAAGTGTTAGTGAACTTAAATTTAAAAACAAATACAGGTGAAAACTTTTTATTATCTACGAAAAATAATTCCGCAATTTTTAGTTGTTTCACAAATCTTTACTTTTTGTGTAATGTAGATTCTTTGTATGTAGATGGAACTTTTCAATACTGTTCTAAATATTTTTGTCAGATGTTTACTATACCTGGCTACAAAAATGGTTTTTATGTTCCTCTAGTATTTTGTTTGTTACCAAACAAATCACAGCAATCCTACAAAAGTACTTTTGATACATTAATAACAATATGTACAGATTTGAATTTAAATTTCAAACCGAAGCGAATAATTTCTGATTTTGAAATAGCAATTCAAAATGCAGCCAAGTTAGTGTGGCCCGACATTATTATTTTTTGTTGCAAATTTCATTTAACACAAAATTGGTACCGAAAAATTCAAAATTTAGGTTTGTCCTCGGAATATAAAAATCAAACTGTTATAGGAAAATATTTAAAATTGTTTTTCGGCATTCCTTATTTACATCCAAATGATGTTGGTGACTTTTTTTCTGATAAACTTTTTAATATTATGCCAGAAGATGACAGAGTTTTGCAATTTTGTGATTAGTAGTTGATAATTATTTAACGGAAGATTCAACATTTCCACCTTACATATGGGCTTCAAATTCATCATCTCTTATATTTACTACAAACGCATGTGAATCATTTCACTCGAAATTTAACGAATGTTTTTATAAATCACATCCTGACATATTTAAATTTACACACATTTTGTTAAATTTTCAAGCAGAAGTATATGTGAAAATTAGAACTGCACATAGATTCGAAAAAAAAACTTGATAAAACGGCAAAAAGAAAAGTTGATTTTATTGAAAATAGGCTAAATGAATATTACGTTAATCAAAACATTACTAAATTGGACTTCATTAAGTCAGTTTGCAATTATTATGCAGCTAACTTTTAAAATCTAAAATAAAGTGGAGTGATTCGACTCTGAACATAGTACCTAATACGTGTTTTAAAATCGAGCTCTTAAATTAAATTTAAAAAGTAGTGAAATACTAAAAATATTTTCATTAATTAGTAATCCAGCAGTGAAATAACAAACATAAATACAATAGAGATAGTAAGTTACTTTAATTATAAGAGTTTTTACTACATATTATCAAATATTATTTCGGATAACCTACAAAATATAGGACAGGTATTTATACCAAACCTGTTCTACTATAGACTAAGAAGGTTGTTTGCCAGGACCGTACTCCATTTACCAATGATAATTAAAAATGGATAGTTCTATTCATTCCGAAATTCCTGCAACTACTAATACACCAAACAGCACATCATCATATCAATTTAATGGATCACGTACATATTCTTCCGTAACAAATCAAACACCACAATCTAATATATTTCCATCAAGAAAACAAGCAATTATTTTTGATTCAGTTGAAAATACCAAATTAGATGATTACTTGTTCGCTCTGAGTCGTCTGATAGAACCAACCCAGATCATCTTCTGTTCGAAATTATCAAATAATAGAGTATGTATTTATTTAGCAAACGAAAAACTAGCTGAGGATTTTATAAACAGAAATGAAAAAATTCAAATAGGCCAGCAGCTTTTACAACCTCGTAGACTAATTAGCCCCAGTCAGCGATTAGTATTGTCCAATGTCTGTCCCTCAATCCCACACTCAGTCCTAGTATCAGCATTAAAATCACATGGATTAAATCTTCTGTCACCTTTAACATTTTTAAGAATAGGCACATCAACACCACAATTCCAGCATATTTTGAGTTTCAGACGTCAAATATACATATCTCCACTAAATAACCAGCCCTTACCTGATTCTTTTCTTATCACACATGAGGAAACGACATACAGGATTTTCCTTTCATTAGATAACCAAGCTTGCCAAACATGTAAACAAAACAACCACTTAACAAAAAATTGTCCAATGTCTACTACGATTACAACAGATAATTCAACATCAAATAATGCAGTTCCAAATATAGACCCAATTGAAAATACAACTAATCTATCAATTCAAAAAACCCAGACAAACACTAAACAACAACAATCAAAAGAAGAAAGCATACAACAAGAATTCCAACCACAAACTACCCAACAAGAAAAACTACACATGCAACCAGCCAAAGAAGATTTAGAAACAACAAACGAGCCAAAAATAGATCTAGAAAATAAGACAACGCATATAAACACAGGCAAAGCACAAAACAAACGCACAATCTCCCAAATCTCTCCACCAGCTACTACATCTAAAGAGGAACCTACCTTTATTACACCAAAAAATAAAGAGAAGAAAGTAAAATCAGATCAAAATGTCAAACCACAAAAAACACTAGAAGAAATGCTAAGATACTGTAAAACTTTATTTGAGAACCCAAATTCTAACTAACCTATAACTTACGAACAGTTATTAGACTTTATTGAAAACTGTGAGAACTCATCAGACCCGTTAAGTATCGCCAAAATGTATACAGAAGAAACAGCAGAGGTCACAGATCTATTAACTAATATATACCCTTACCTAAAGGACCGAAAAATTAAAGTCAAATGCACTCGAATAAAAAATAAAATATTAAAACAAATCAACTTAGACATTCAAACAGACTTAGAAAGCGACACATCAACAGAAAATTAATAACACATCATTTTCAACTCTCTAATTCAATGGAACATAAATGGGTATTATACCCATTTAGAAATGTTAAAATTATTAATTTCAAAACATAAGCCTAGTCTGATATGTTTACAAGAAACCCACTTCAAAAACAACAAAGCTCATGACTTAAAGAATTTCAATTGTTTTTTTAGAAATCGAGAAAATTCGAAAATTGCAAGCGGAGGGGTAGCAATCTACATAAAAGATAGCTTTGACGCTAAACCAATAAAACTTAGAACAACTATCGAAGCAATTGGAATTAGAGTCACAGACACAATTTCTTTTTCAATTTGCAATATTTACATTCCCCCCAATAAAGAACCCGATTCAAAAGAAATTTCAAACCTATTAAATCAACTACCTGCTCCACGGATAATAATTGGAGATTTCAATGCACATAATCCGCTATGGGGTTCAACAAAACTAACATCTCTAGGTCGAAAAATAGAAAAAATAATAGAAGAAATCAATCTAAATATTCTTAACGACGGACAACATACGCGCTTTGAAATAAGAACAGGTGAAGGCTCTAGTATAGATCTAAGTATTTGCGAACCATCAATTACACATACTCTTACATGGGATGTGTTACCAGATCTATATGATAGTGATCACTACCCTATCATAATAAGCAATGAACTACAATCAACTACCCCGCAACAACTAAAATGGAATTTAAAAGGCGCAAATTGGATAGAATTTCAAAATTACGTTGAAAACAACCTGCAAAATCTAAATAACAATGTAGATATAGACAAAACAATATACTCTCTGACAAATGTAATCACAGAATCAGCAAAAAAGTACGTTGGAATAATTAAGTACGATTACAAACATCAGTCGGTACCTTGGTGGAATCATGACTGCAAAGAAGCATTAAAACAATCGAAACAAGCTTTTAATAAATTCAAAAGACACAAAACTCAAGAAAATTCTATAGAATTCAAAAAATTAAGAGCAGTCGCTAGGTATACCATTAAAAAAGCCAAACGTGACTCTTGGAGAGAATATGTTACCACAATACATAGTTCAACTCCTATAACTGCTATATGGAAAAAAGTCAACAAAATGTCTTGTTCCAAACCTCATAAATCAATCAACTTTCTAACTCAAAATAACACTATTTATAAAAGCCCAGAAGAAGTATCCAATATACTAGCATCTACTTATGAATATAACTCAAGTAACTTAAATTATACTTCCAATTTCTTAAAAATCAAAATAAAAGAAGAAAAAAATCCTATAAAATATTACGATCAAAATAATAACGATCTAAATATACCAATAACAGAGGAAGAATTAGAAAATGTATTTCAAAATTGTAAGAACACTTGTCCTGGACCCGACAATATACCGTTTATATTCCTAAAAAATTTAGGCCCTCAATCTAAAAAATATCTACTCAAAATCTACAATATAATCCTATCCAGAAACGTATTTCCTAAATCATGGAAAAATTCAATCATAATACCTATTCTAAAACCAACTAAACCAAAATCAGATCCACAATCATATCGACCGATATCACTCACATGTAGCATAGGTAAAATATTAGAAAAGATAATAAACAATAGACTTATGTGGTATCTAGAATCAAACAACTTAATTATTCCAGAACAATGTGGTTTCCGAAAACGTCGCTCAACTTTAGACAACCTCATTGACTTAGAATCAGAAATCCACGAAGCATTTGCAATAAAACAACATTGTGTTGGAATATTTTTTGATATAACCAAAGCATATGATACAGTTTGGAAATATTCAATCATTAAAACACTCAGCAACTGGTTAATAAGGGGTAACATATTAAAATACATTTCAAATTTTCTTGAAAACAGACAATTTCAAGTTCGAGTTGACGGAACATATTCTCAAACAAAAATTCAACAAAATGGTATACCACAAGGATCAAATTTAAGCACAACTTTATTCTTAATAGCAATAAATTCAATATTAACAGAAATTGAAAACCCTGTCAAAGCTAGATTATACGCTGACGACCTAGTTATTTTCTGTAGAGGAAAAAACATAGCAACGATTTACAATCACATTCAAAACGCGTTAACACACATTGAGAAATGGTCTGCTACAAGTGGACTTCAATTTAACACTTCAAAAACGAAAGCAATCTGTTTCTCAAAGAGAAATCAAATCCAAACAAAAGAATTATATCTACACCAACAAAAACTAGATCATGTAGAAGAAATCCGATTCTTGGGTATGACGTTTGATAAAAAATTAACTTGGAAGACACATATTCAACAGCTGAAAAAATCCTGTCTTCCTGGTATAAATTTACTTCGATCACTTGCATTTAAAAACTGGGGTGCTGATTATTCAAGTTTAATACTTATTTACAAATCCATAATTCGATCAAAACTTGACTATGGAGCCATAGTCTACAACTCCTCCAAAAAAACACATTTGAAGTCACTGGATATTATCCAAAATAGATGTCTACGTATTTCTTTAGGTGCTCACTATACAAGTCCCATTCAAAGTCTTTATTGGGAAAGTGGAGAACTTCCTCTTTCTTTCAGAAGACAATATCTAAGCCTAACATATGCAGCGGCAGTGTCATCAAACCGAAATAATCCAGTACTACATAACGTTTTTGCTGACCGATTTACAAATAAATTTCAGCAAACACATCAAATTGATCATCCTTTTTACTTTCGTATACAATCATACTTATCCAAATTAAATTTTCAATTTCCAAAAACCTATGATACCTCATCAATCCACAACCCTGCACCATGGACAATATCTATTCCTGCTATCGACATCAGTCTAACAAACCTAAGAAAATCAGAGATGTCATCAACCGTCATTAAACAAAAGTTTCATACACTATTAAACAGATATGGCAATACCTACAACGTATACACAGATGCGTCAAAAAATGAAGACAGAGTTGGAGCAGCAATTTATTCGGAAGACTCCTCAGTTAGTTTCAAATTGTTATCAATTACAACCATCTTTTCGGCTGAATTATTCGCAATTCTAAAAGCACTATCGTTAATACAAAACAAAAACAAAGAAAGATGTATAATAATCACAGATTCTCTAAGTTCATTAACCTCACTGACTCAATTATACTGTGACAACCCCCTTCTACTTCTTATTAAAAAAGAACTTAAAAACATTTCAAATAAGAACATCCAAGTGCAGTTTTTATGGGTACTTTCTCATGTAGGAATTGAAGGTAATGAAGCTGTAGATAAACTGGCCAAAAACGCACCAACTAACCCGATGTCCGAAGAAAGCAACATATTGGTACAAAACGATCTAAAACCATACTTAAAACAAAAAATAATTCACAAATGGCAACAAACTTGGAACAACACTCCATCAAGGCTATACGAAGTCAACAAACACCCACATCTATGGAAACCAACAATAAAAGACAGAAGAGAACAAGTGATACTTACCCGTCTCCGTATCGGCCATACACGACTTACTCATGACTATTTATTACAACGCAAAAACAAACCAGTATGTGAAGTGTGTAACAGTGTTCTAACGGTAAAACATTTTTTAATACAGTGTCCCAAATATAACAGTGAACGACTCAAATATAACATACCTAACTCCCTAAAAGATGCCCTAGAAGAAAGTACACATAACCGAAAAATTTTTTCCTATCTTAAAGACTGTCAACTTCTTCAAAAGATCTAAAACGTACATTTTAACATACATACATACTATTATTATTATTATTATTATTGTAAACTAATGTATATTCACATATTGTATCAACTGTCACATATGTTACATAATCTAAATACGCTAATGACCCTGCGTGGTCGATGCGTAAATAAAAAAAAAAAAAAAAAAAAAAAAAAAAATAAAGTGTTTACTCTTACTTATTTGAATCACTAGTCTGACATTAGAATTAAGCATTGTTATTGTTTAACTGTAGTTTTTGTTATTGTACTTATATAAGTTAATGTAGATTTATAAATAAACTTTATTCGATTACTTCTATTGTTATAGTTTCATTATTTAATCATTTAAAATTTTCGCTCATGCTTTGGGAATTGGGTTCCTTTTTGAATACAAGAAAGTAAAATAAAAACTATATTATGTTCACAAAAATATTATCCAAGTACGTAGGTAGCGTGGGGCAATTCGTAGTCGCTTTTAATCCTACTATAAAACTTAACCCATTAAAATCTAGGTAGCGTGGGGCAGTTCGTAGTCGCCGGTATTTCTTCCCAACAATTTAAATGGTGATATTTGCAGTTCTTATCAAACGATTTACAAGAGAGTTTGGAAGTGAATATTGCAGTAAGGTAAAACATGTGGTTTCGACAAGATGGCGATCCACCACATTACATTAATGAAGTCCGGGAATACCTTTGCAGGCAGTATCCTGATCTCATGAACTTTTGCTTTTGGGGGTTTATAAAATAGAAAGTGTATTCTGTAAAAACAGAGGACGAACAACAATTGAGGGTTAGAATAATTGAAGCTGCAAATCAATTTCTCCAGAAAAATATGATTTTTCAGCTCATTCGGTTTTCCTTATTCAAACGATACCGAATGTGTTTTGAACAAAATGGGGGTCATTTTGAACATCTATTTTAATATCATATTTATAGAAGTTATAGACATTTTTTGTACTTGCTAATCCATTCAAGTAGTTGCACTAAATATTTTAATGGTTAACTGGAAAAGGGCCGTAACTCAATAAAAACTGTTTTTTAAAAAAAGTGATGAGGCAAAAAAATTTAAAAATAATGTGTTAAACTAATGATGCCACAAAATTCTGTGCGCTTAGATTTTGTTGTGTGTGTGTCTGTGTTTGGTGAGTTGGCTTGGAAACTAGTCCTTTAGCCACATAATTGTAATATATTGTAAGATATTAGTTTTTAAAAATTGTAACCAAAAAGTTACATATTAGTTCGTATATTTCTCTACTATCTAAGGAGAGTAAATAGGTGATATTTATGAGAATCTGAATTTTAAGTTCTGATAGTTTTGAATACAGCTGATCTGTTTCATACTTATGTTTATCGCACTTAAAAAGAATATGGTTGATGTCAAATTGTGATATATTATCGCATAAGCATACCCCAAAAGAGATAATATTCAACTTAGCCAAGTGGGCTAGGAATGCACCGTGATTAGTTCTCAGTCGTGTAATTGTGGCTGTCAACTTTTTTGGCATTGCGTATTTGAAAATATAGGCAACATCTTGTGGTAAGGTAGGGTGGATAGTATATTATTGATTATTTGAATTCGTTGTTTCTTTTGTTATATTACAAAATGTTGTATTACAAAGTGTCAAGTAGTTAAGGAGATAATGCAAACAAACAATTTTTATTTTGTAACTTCAAAGGGCTGTAACTTTTTTTGTGTACACTTTTGTACTAAGGTAAGTTGGCTCCCATCAATTTATTTTTGTCTCCTGAATGCGTGATTTAATTTATGACATACCTTTTTGAAACACCCTGTATATGTCCGTACCATTTACATTTTTACACCCCTTTATTATTCTTATAACATTTTTCCCCTTAGTATATTACTTATTTAATACTAAATTAGTGATATTATTTCGTTTTGGTCGATATTCTTGGGTCCCCTAACCATTATAATAATTTTTCTGACTAAGATCTTTAACATTTCTTTTTTTTATATTATAAGTAACACTTTGTAGTTTCGCTGCGTATGTTACTGTTGGTCTTACTGTTCTTTTATGTACTCTCAGTTTGGTGTTTTTACTTCATTTTTATCTTTCAAGTAAACTGTTTACTATGGATAGTATCCAAAAAAAAACATCAAATATGCAATTCAAATAGTCAAAATAGCATCTATTAACTAATATAAAAATGTTTTAGATCCAAAATGAAGTGAATGATGGCAAGTGTGGTGTATGTGGAGATCCTTATACAGATCCTCATCCTCAAGCAAACGAAAATACCGGATTTTATGGTCAAGGAATTGTTACCAAGACCTATGAACCAGGTTCAGTTATTGAGGTTAAAATCATGCTAACTGCCAATCATCTAGGAAATTTTACATATAGGTGAAAAATTTTACAAATCATATTTCTATTAATTGTTATATTAGCAAATATTAATATTTAATAGAGGCGTAATAAATATGGTAATTAATACAAAAACTTGACAACAACTAGTAATTTATTTACTAGTTATAAATAACTGAAATATAAAAAAATTGATATCCTGGAAAACAGTTGAATTAATAAAAATGGGAGGGAATAATAGAAAGAAAAAAAAGATGTAATAACAAAGAAAAGTAAGAAAGACAAGATATGCAGAAAAATAATGAAAGAACTAGAAATCCCAAAAGATAAGGAGTTTGAGTTTTTGTATACTCTGTACAGAAATAGAAAAAAATCTTTACATACACATATTATTATAAAAAAAAAATTGCGATTGTAAAAAATATTAACTTATTTAGAATATTATCAATTTAGAAATATTGCGATTGGATTTTCCTAAAACATAAAGTATTTAAAATGTATTTAGAGATTCACAATTAAATTTGAGCCAAATGTTTGTCGTATAGCCAAATAAACAAATTTTAAGATCAATAATCGACAACTTATTAAATTTGTTTTCTCATTCTTCATGTACCATGTCCTTTCCTAACGTTATTGGTTACCATCATAGCTATCTTAACTTTATTCACTGCCACCCTCAATAACATGCTTGTATCAACACCATACCAATCTCGCAAGTTCTTCAACCATGAGGTTCTTCTTCGTCCTGGATGATAATTAGCAAGAATTACATGTCCGAAATACTCCAGCTTCCTCTGCTTGATGCTTTTTATAATCTCAATAGTCTTGGTGAGACGTTCTAGTATTGTGGAGTTTCGAATCTTCTCCACCCAGGATACTTTTAAAATTCTTCTATAGGACCACATTTCGAAAGCCTCAAGGCGAAATTTGTTATAGTCATGGCTGAAACGCGATTATTTGTTCCGAACACTTTCCTGTATACAGTTAGTTTTACAGCTTGCAATAATTATACCCGCAATATGTTGTCAGCTGTATATTTATTTACTGCAACTTCTTGCAATTGCTCTTGCTCATTGCTCGGCCACAGAATAATAAACAATCAGAATGTTCACTCTGCTTGAAAAAATAAGTTCGCGCAGACGGAATCAGTCATGTTTTAGTCGGAACCAGTGCTGTTCAGTGACATTTTATCTGGTGTGCAAATTAACCCGGTTTAATTTATTTACGGCATCTACAGACATAATATGCACTATTTTATTCGTACTTTTAGTTGAAGAATAGATTAAATTATTTCAAATATACTAAATTATTAATCTCTAAAAATTTAAATTACAGTTCTGTCGTAGCTTGTCACAAATTTCTCAATTTGAGTCTATGTTTCCGTTCCAAATATGTCGATCGCGTGTTGACACACTTCAAAGGCGGCATCTGAGAGTGGGCATTCTGATTGTTACAAGTTTCCATGCAAGTCTAGGGGAATTTGTTACTACTGCTTTTTTTCTTTTATATTTGGCTATTTTTAATAGTCTTGGTATTTCGAAATTTACAAAATAGTGTTAAATAAACAGCAATAAGTAATTAAAAAAAAACAAAAGTTTCTAAGTTAGGTTAAGGGTAAAAATTTCCATATTAATTGCATTGTAAGCCGAATTGCAAGCTGCAAAATCGCACATAAAGACCTTGCAATTGACTTGCATAAAATTTAGTCATGCAAGAATTTGCAGCAACCTTTCTTGTGAGCTGTCAAGCAGACAAGCACAGACTTTTGTCTTGACTCATGTCTAATTCTTTGCATTGTAGAGTGTTTTATACGACCTTTCCCAGAATTTTTTATTTTTATTAAATTATAAACAAATTACACAACACAAATTTATCATTTGTCAATATTTCGCAAAAACATTTGGTTATTTATAACTTCAATTAAGACATCCAATAAATATCATTGTTTATAATCCATATAAAAAAGCGGAAATGAACTCACAATAAGTTCAAAGACATTTTAAAGATTTAAAAATAAAATAAACTAATTACACTTCCATAAAATTACAATTATTACGACACACTTTAATTGTAAACAAAGTTTGTTTTTTATTAAAAACACCTAAGTATAATATAAATATTATTTTATATGGAATATGGGATTAAACCACAATCGATTGTAAGAAGAAGTACCTATTACAGCTTTTTTGACGTCTCGATTTCCAAAACGGAAATTGTTTTCAGAAACTTTAAATTTAGAAATTATTACAGATAGCAAAAAACCAAATTTGACAATTGACATTTAGTCTCGATCTCGTAGGCAATTAGCCATATTTTGTGTGAAATTCTGAGACAGTGATAGAGTTCTGAGATATGTTGTAACCTCGGATTTGTATCAAATTCTGATATTTCTGTGCTCATGTGGTTAATTGTAGATTATGTGCTCCGAACTTCTATTAATTCATTAATTTTGGTATATTCATTTTACTTTCTTCTTTGATTTTTCTTTTTTTGCTGTTTGTTTCTGCTTCTTGTTTTTATCTGACAAATCATTCTTTAACTTTCCATAATACACTCTCTTGAAGATCTCTTCATTGTTTTTGACAGGAGTCAACTTTAACATGAGTCTATCTCTAAATCCTTTAGACATTTTTATAATCTGAAATAATTTCAACTAGATGTATTTCTTAAGAATGTCAGAAGTCGAAATAATTTGTAAATAGGCGAGTTCAAAAATTCAAAAAGTTCTAATAATTTTCTAAACTAGATACTGACATAGTTCACACGAATACTACAATTAATTTTAAACATACCCTCAACTTCTTTACAGGACTGATACAACTCAAAATAATTCATTATTCTTCACAGAAACTTATCTTATTATGTGTTTGAGAAAGGACGACATATCTCAAAATATGACAATATTATGCAAAATGTCCAACCAAGATGTCTTATTTATATTATTAATAATAACGACACTTCTATTCTTTTTAACACACAAAAAATATAGAATATTTAAAATCTATTGACTAACATATTCCATTTTTCACTATTTATGAGATATGACGGTCTTCATCGTAGGTAGCGATATATAACAATTATAATTAAAAACAATAAAATACCATCATCTGCTAACCACGATCAATAACACCTTAATACTTTTAGTCTATGTGAACTTGAAGATTTTAACGCTCCAGAACCTGAAGATTGTTTTGAAGATTTGCTATTGGAAGATGGTTCAGCTAACTACATTGTAGATGACCAAGATGAAATAGTTTTCAATAAAGTACGACTGCCAAATTTCAAATGCGAGAGATGTGTTCTTAGATGGACTTATAAAGCAGGTAAATAAAAAATAGTAAAATAAGATGTCAATAAAATTATTGCTAATCGTTAACAAAAAAAGTGTCCCTTGATTCAGGTGATACCTGAATCGACGGAAACTTGTACCGTAAATGGTAAATAAATAAGATTTGAATTAAGGTCGACAGAGACGCTGATAGTAATTTTGCGTAGGTAACGGATTCGTAAAGAGCGCAAAATCATAGTGTATCCGATACCCAGGAGTTGTATAAGTCCGCAGAAATGGATACACCAGCTCAATGCGTTATTAAAAACCAAACAATTCTGAAAAAAGCCTGTTAGTTTTAAACGTGAATTGGTATTTCTCTCTTAAAAAAATCGCCGAAAAAATCCACTCCAAAAAACTAACCAAGGTGCACCAGATGAGGATCTGATGTTAATAGGTCGTTCACAACGAACTGTATGTTTTATTACAAGAACTTCACAACCTCTAACGAAAATTTTTATGATATACATTGGGTTTTTTCTCGTATTTAGAATTAAGACGGTCTGCATCAGTAATAATACATTTTAAAATGTATCTATATATATATATATATATATATATATATATATATATATATATATATATATATATATATCCGGTTTTTTAGGCGTTACGCCCGTCCGGTAGGGATCTATGGAGGAGTATCACCGAGCCGCAAGCCCTTATCTCTTGCCGTACTGCTCCACCATAGGCCGATCAGATCCCAGCATATCCTAGTCTAAGCCGCAGATTCATCTAGAATTTTAAACTGTTGCGTTAGACTTTTTGTTTTCCGTACACCGAGCTGGGGCTCGACCCACATCCACTGAACCATTCGACAGTGAAGCGAATGAGAGGCAGCCGCACAGCCCGCTGAGCTATCTGACCGACTAAAATGTATCTTCTTATTAATAATTCATATGTGTAAGCATACTAATATTCATCATTTGATGGTGTTTAAAAAGACATTATTTTAAATATTATTTAACTGCCCACCATTCCCTAATCCCTTTCTCCTCCTGAAATAACCTATGACAACCAATCCAATAGCTCACATTCCTCTCATGTATCCATCACAATTAATGGACATGAATCTAGAAACTCAGATGAGTTGTAGAGGCAATAGATCTCCTAAACAAATACATACATATACCTATCATCATCGAGCCCCATCTTCACATCCATTGTTGGACATAGGCCTCCTCCAAACGTCTCCAGTTCTTTTATCTCTAGCTGCTGCAATCCAGTTTGTTTCTATTCTTCTTAGGTCGTCGGTCCATCGGGTGGGTGGCCTCGACTTCGCTTGTCGGCTCTTGGTCTCCACTCCAATAATCTCTTCGTCCATCTTCCGTCTTCCATTCTAGCAACATGTCCATGCATATACCTAGCACCCAAAAAAATAAACCTAAACTCATTATCTCTCCAGGGTCTTCCTAACAGCGTTGATCAAAACCTCTTATATCCATCTTCCAAACCACAAGAAGAATACTACAAATACCAACAGAAATAAGTCGTCTAAATTTTTAACAAATTTTACAACCAAAGACAATTTTTCAAAATGCTTAATTACCTCCTCGTAGAAATCCTGTACAAATTAATATCCAGACTTCAGAATAACAAGCTATCCTTAATACCAACTTACCGATTCCCCAAATCAGTTGATGCCTGGAAGATCTTGCAGAAATAATAGTGACATGCATGTTTCGAAACACAAACCAATAGATTTTACTTCCACCAACAAACTATTATTCCATACGAAAATCCTTCTGCATCATAAAGCCCTTCTAACCCAACCCTTACTAATCAAACTACAACCAAAGCGATCGCTCCTACCCAAATTATTCTCAGACAACCCTCTCTTCTTCCAGAACACATTCCATAACAAACATTCCAACTAGTGCAACCCTACCGAGATAACCTTCATCTCCCCCTCAACTTCCAGAACTTATCCCATAACAAACACCTTAACGAGTGCAACACTTCCTTGTCAAAACACCACCAGACAACCTTTACATCCTCCTCCATCTAAAACACCTAGGTACAAAAAGCATTTGTCCTCGAAGATATCCCCCAAAGCATTTGTCAGCAGCGAACATTCTACCAACCCTTACCAGTTAACAATATTATATATTATAACTGATACTCATTCTATAACCATTAAAATATAAGAATAGGGTAAGATTTATTGAAAATGATTATTACATTTGTTTTATAGATAGTTTAGTTAATAATTTGCTTCTAGGAAACAACTGGGGGATATGTGACGATGGAAAATGGAGAAGAGGATGTGGACCCCAAGAACATTTCATATCATGTGCAGATATTGCAATATTATAATTATTATAAGAACATTAAACAAACACTTATTCAGTGAGAAAAATTGTATAGATCTAAATTTATCAAAAGTATTATCCTTTATCGCTGTGTTTATAATCCTATCATTATTATTTAAATATAGTCTTAATTTCTGTTGTAGTTGTTGTGATTTTCAATTCATAAAATAGGCAAATTAAAATTTTTAGAGTATATACATTGAGTCAGAAGCAAAACCGCCTTAGTAGCAAAATATACATTTTGAGAAATAAAGCATTAAAGTTTTCCCATCTTTAAAAATTCTGGACATTCAATTTTAAAAAGTTTAAAGTTTTAAACAATTCAAAAGTATAAAATTTTAAAGATACTTCTAGAGAGGAGAGAATTTTAGTTTTTTTAGGAACTAAACACAAATTTTGCTTTTATGCTAAATAACATTAAAGTTATTCATAATACGACAAAATCTATGTAATCCTCTTGCTCGTCATTTACATCTTCTTAGGAAGATTCAAGAGCAGTGCTTGCTTTTTTCGTTGATTTGATAATGTTTTTGAGGTTCATAAAAGTCATGAGTCATTGTTGGTAAATAAATAAATACATATATGTTACTGCCACAAGTTTTATTTAAAAAATAAATAAATATGTATATTAAAAAAATAATAAAACAAGAATATAATAGCAACGTTTTGGCCAGCAGGAAATGTGATAGTATTTTTGAAATAGAAGAATGAATACAATTTTCAAAAACACTTTTTTCATAAACTGACAAGAAAAATAAACAGACTTATTACAAAAACGTAAAATATTTATCAATTAATTCAAATAAGATAATCTTATTGTGTACTGAATTTAATTAAATTGCTAAATCTTTACGCAGAATTGTTAATTTTATTTATAATTAAAGATTAATTAGTATTATGAAACTATCTAATTAGTCTTTCTTGATTTAACTTAAAAACTATTTAAATAGATTTTAAATAAAAAAATATCGAATATATTTACAACCAAGGTACATCACACAAAAAACAGCCGAATATCTGAAAAAAAAACTGGATTTACTATCTTTTATATATTTTACATGTTTACTTTGGATCATACAAATATTGATCTCTTCGTAGACAAGTCACGTCAAACAGTCTCCCCCTATATCCTCTACTCATGATACTATGAACTGCTAAGGAAGTTCATAGTATCATGGTCTCTACTTACTTCTTACCGGAACTTCATTCTAAGCGATTCATTTGGCTTTGAACTTGTCCTAATCATCTTAACTTTCCTACTAACACCACATCAGTTTAACCCTCTATTCCGTGAGTAATTCCTTTGTACAAATTTGAATACATTAAAACACAATGTTCCACTTAGGAACGCTGGTCTACAATGTGTAATATGTGTTGCCGTTACAAGGTTCGATTTACGTGAGTAATACTCAGTATCATTAAGGTATAGATTATACAACTTATGTAACCACTGCACAACTTATATTCTGTGACGGTGGTTCGTGGAAAGTCGACGGCGCGCAGTGTTGCCATTTATAGTTAGCTTAATTGCTTAGGACTACAGGCTACAGGTAGCATTTAATTGAAATCGATATGAAATATCGATTACATATTGAAATATTAAAAAATTGTTGTCTAATTTTGAAGGAATTAGACAACAATTGTAAAGAATCTTTATCTTTAGTAATAATTAAGCTGTAGTAATAAAACAAAATATAAAATTTTACTGCATTTAAGGATTTAATTCCAGAGAAAATACTGACAAATATTTCATCCTATATCACATTCTAATTCAGAAATGTATGTTTAAAGCTTAATTAATTCAGTTTTTAAAATCACAGACAAGTCAAACGTGTTCCAATAGGCTTCATTCTTTCCAGTAAAAACACTTCACCATACGAACATTGCCACTTCTTCTCTAGTACTAATCAAATCCATATATACTGACTGATACATTTGTCGTTGGCAAATAAGGTTTCTTTTCAAAACCATTTGAATAACTTTGCGATGATACAACATATTCATACAGCTCATTTTTTTAAAACAAGCTTCTATTTAAAGTATTTATATTGCACACATAAAAATATTTCCAAACGCCTTATAAATTTATCCCAAGCAGAATGTTTACTTACTGAGAAAGAAGACTAAAAAATGTAAAAATTACTACTTGAAGGATAAAATTATATTAACACACATACTACTACTGTCCTTTTAAAAGACATTCGATCTATTTCCCTTAAATTGATAACTTAAACTTACCGTTGATAGATGGCGCCTGTGGGATATACTGTCAAACACATCGATCAAGATATTTCAGCAGCTGCTCGCTTTAAAAGTTTGTTTACGTACCGACATAGCATTGTTTTGTTTTTTAATTAAACATGGATGTTGCTACTAATTGGAGGTAAGTTTTTTTTATTACAAATCAAATGTGGGCGTTTTACATGATTGTCATTACAAGTGGTTATTTTTTTATGGAAATCGTTAAAATGGCATTAGTCCATTGCAGAACTTGAGACAGATGAGATTCCAACGCCTCTTAATGGTATAATAATTTTTCCTTCAGACAATACAAATGATAATATAACAGATTGTGATTTAGGAGACGAGGATGTCATACCAGGAAGCCAGCTGAGAAATGACGTGAAGGTTATTCTCGACAAGACAATATCAGCGTGCAAAAGAGTCGGATTCGGACGACGACGCCATACCATGCACGCCATCTTACAGTCGTGGATATCGAGCATCTAGTGAAAGAAGAGCAGAATAAATTAAACCTTGATAACATTATTGAAATTACCATGGAACCAGCAGTTGTGGATCTAGGCGAAGATACTACTGATAAATTACTCCAGTTACTAAGGCTTAAAATATGGTAATACCTCCGAATATTTTATAACTGCATCGATTTCTTTGAAAATTTCAAATTAAGCTTATCTTACCCTCCAATTTAAAAGTTATATACGCTCTAGGTGCGCTTGTTGTTTTTAAGGGGTGAGAACAACCCCTTATTGAAGAAGCTAGGAAAAACACGGATTTAATTATTTTATGCACTTAAATCTTCTTTATTCGCATAAGGTAAATATTGTAATGTGTTCTCTAACATGAAAATTAATTACTCACAATTTTCAACCCTTAAAACTCTTTCAAAACGCTTAAAAGCTAATACTTTTTATAAAAATAATACGAAAAATAAGTCGTAGCAGCTTGAGACATTTCAATTATGTATTTAAATACAAATAAAAATTAATACCCTAGCTATACAATATTTTATTTATTGGAAATTTTCAACACTTACAACCACTCTTATGACAAAAATGAATTCAAAATGAATTAAAAAGTATTTTTATCGGTTTAAAACATTTCTTGAGTACATTTAACGAAAATTAGTTTTTTGCATATAAAATAACTTTTTATTATAATTTCAACATTTCAACCCTCACAACCAACCCCTTAAAAAATTAACTTATTATATTTTTATTGGTCTGAAACATTTCTTGAGTGCATTTTATTAAACAAAAATTAATTTCTTGCTTATAAAATAGATTATAAAATAAATATTTAAAATAACATTTTAATATAATTTGAACATTTCAAACCTTACAACCACCCACTTTGTCAAAAATGAATTAAAAAATATTTTTAACGATTTGAAACATTTTTAGAGTGCATTGTTTGTAGCCAAAAATTAATTTTTTACTTATAAAATGAGCTTACTTTTTTCAACCCTTACAAGCACCTCTTTTGATGATAATTTTTCGACTGTTCTAACAACCATTCAAATTTCGTCATTTTGTGTCATGTGGAACAATTTCACCCAATCATGTCAACATTAGACTGATAATTGCATTCAGTGCAATTTTCAATCCCTATGACAACACGATCGAGTTTGACAACTTCATCCAAATAAATTTCAAAATGTCACGTTTCGGCAATGAGAATGTTCAAAGTATAAATGCGCTAATCAAAGAAAAAAATCCCAGAAATACAACCTACAGTCACAAATATATTTGGGGAATATTCATGGAATTTTGCTGCATTAACAACAATTGCTAAAAATTACTGGTCATGGCAATCAGAATTCTATAAAACCATACTTGAATCTCGATCAAGAACACCACAACAAGATTATAAATATTATGCGTGGTAATAGATCTTCTATAGTAGAGAACAGCAACGAATCTAATGTTAACTTAAATTTTAATAATTGTACTTTCACTAACTGTACTTTTAATAAATAAATGTTTCGTTATGATTTTTTTTCGAAAAATTATCCGCCGAATATCCCTCGGACATTGATGAATGCCTCATAATTTCATGACAAATTTCTCAAGCTCGTTGCTTGGTAACAGCACTCAGCCTTCGGCTTCGTGCTGTTACCAAGGAACGAGCTTTCGATTGTCATGAAATTATCTCGTCTGTTATCAATGTCCTAGGGATATTACTACTGAAAATAAAATCCTTAAATCTTTAACTTAGACATGGACATAAATAGAAAAAATTTAGTTTATAATATATTACAATTTTTTTATTTTCCAAAAAACTAAAAATAAATAATATTTATATAAAACGAGGTATAAAATAAATGAATATCTATTCATCAGATACCTAGATGCATATGTATATATTAAATGTCTATTAGTTCCGTCGAAATGCTCCAATTTTCCAAAAAGTACTATTGGTTTTTTTTACAATAATTCGGTTAATTTTGATGCTACAACATGCATAAACAAAACGATTTGACAGGTAATTTAATGGGCTATAAGTATAGGAATGTTAAAACATTCTACAGCCCTTAATGTTTAAAGGGTGAAGGGTCAAAGGGTCGGAGACCAGTGGTTCATGCGCTATAAAGCAAACTTCAACCAACTATACCTCCGTTATTTATTAAGCTACAAAAAAAATTAAAAAACGAAAATTTTTGTTGAAAAAAAAAACCTGTTTTTTTGTGTTGTGTCATCTTTTACGGATCTTTTATAGTTTTGAAGTTATAAAAAATAATTTTTTTTTAATATTTACACAAAAAAATGTAATCATACTTTTTTCAAAAATTGAGTATTCTAAAGTGGCTAAACTATTGGATCATACAAAAAACACTAAAATAAAGTGAATTCTATAAGGAAAACAATTTATTTCAATCTTAGTGAACATGATGTTAGTTTTATTGCGTTTTTTTTTAAATCGTACCTAACGTACAGTTGGTGCAAAGGACTTTTACCACCACTCACTTTACAGGTCTTTTCAAGCTCTTTTAAAAATATTATACTTATGAGTTTTTGTCGAAAAATGTACCCGTTTTCCGGTATTTAACGTTAAATACTCGTATTGAAAGACAAAAACAAACCTTCTTTGAACAGCCATAACTCAGTTAATATTGAACTGAAAATATTCATTAAAAAGCCAATCTTTTTGTTTTTTATGAGCTTTAATTTTAGTTGTTACACTTTTTTTGATAAAACTCTTAGTTTCAGAGCTATTCTTAAAAAACCGTTGAAAAACATTTTTTTTTTAACGAAAAATGACACTTTTCAACAGCGAATAACTCAAAAAGTAGTGATCTAGCACAAAAAATGTTTACTACGTTTTTTGTTTGAAATTTGTCCTTCTATCGAATAGCGTGGTTATTTTGATATTTTGAGTGAAAAAATTTCCACCCTCGAAAAGGAGTGTCAAACACCCCAGGGTGGAAGCACACATCGGCACTATATAACTTTTGTTCCTTGAGTAATTATTTACCAACACACAAAATTTCAAATGAATCGATTCAGTTATAAAGAATTCGGAGGTAAAAACCATCAGTAACTGGACTAAATCTAAAGATGACATAGATGGCCCAGATTAGATTATGAGCAATGTTAATTTTTATTTAAACATATGGAAATAAATATTCAGTTAAGGTGACCCATTTATTACTGTTTCGTGCTATTCGACAATAGAAATTGAATATTATAATCCTTGAATCAGTCATAAGTTTATTAATTTAAACGGATAAAGGACTTTTTCCATAAAATATATTTAACAAAGACTAGTTTTCTTCATCTAAAGTATTTTCTTTCCCGTCAAACCTGCAATAGTCAACATTGAAATATTTTGGTACTATGATATAGTTGGCTTTGCAATTTACCGAATAAAACAAACCTTAAGGTTTTTTTCGATAAGAATGTGGAAGAATAAATGCTTAGAATAATAAATAAATATAATGTTACCAACATACGGGTTTGAATAATGATGAGTACAATGCCGGTGTCTCAAAATCTTTGACGAAAAACGATTACTATCATCCACGAATATTTTACCATAATATATTAAATAGCTAACACTGGTAGTCTAATCCACATTACAAATTATAGCCTCAACGTTGCTTGAAAATAAAACTACCTAGTGAAATAAGAGGGTTATCCCATCATCAGTCAAATGTCAAGCGAGCATTTTATATAATTGAGATGTACTAAGTGTAGTAATAAATTTCTTAAAGTCAGACTTCGGAAACCTTCTAATACTATCTTCTTGACGAAACTCTCGGACAAACTGTATAATATTTCTTTGGTAATTTCGAATTTAAACCTTACGTTACACTACAATCCACGTATCACTCGATTGTGTTATCGTCTTCTTCAAATTTTGAAGCATATGTGAAAGTTCTTCTAAACTGTATCTGTACCTCAAAGTTTTATTACCAGGGGGACATTCACAATAATTTTTAAAATGTCTTAGACACACTAGTTTGTCGATAGAGCAGTCACATGTTATAGCGGATAAGAAACATGTCGTTTTGCATATTTCACACTGCCTTTCATCATCATGAAGTGACTCGAACGGTTCTGCAGTCGATTTTGTAATACCCTACAAAATATATGGTATATAAATATTTTATATATACAAGATGATCATCTTTTATGACAAAGTCAGTTGTTATTAAAAAAAAAATTTTTTTACAAATGCACAGCGTAACGCAATTCACGAAGCTTTTAAAAATAATCAAACATGTGTGATAATATACTTTTTCACCGTATATTGAATACTCTAAAAAAGATGGGATATCAAGGAAATATTTTGGCCTACATAAACAACTTAACTAAAAAAACACATCAGGTAAAAGCGAATGGTGTTTTATCATATCTTAGAGAACAACAAAACGAAATCCCACAAGGATCGATTATCAGTCCTACTCTATTTTAATTAGCAATAAACGATATGATCAAAATCATTGTGAAACCTGTTCAGGCAAGAATGCAGTGGGTTATCAAATTATTAGAGCCACCCCATAAAATTTTACTTTTTGTTTAAAAATGGTATATAATTGAGCTATAAAACATATTTTTGTACTTATTTCTATTTTACTGTGATTTAGAATCTTAAAAAGTTTACAAATATTAAAAAAGAAACGAGTTATATGAAAACACTTAAAATTATGCCTTATACTTGGTAGTGTCATTCTTTGTAGGAATGACCGCTTGGCACCTTCTTGGAATACTTTCTATGCATATCTGGCAATTTTGTGGAATTGTTCTACTCCTGTGCCATTCTGCTATTAAGCGCTCGATCAATTGACGCTTTGTATTGATGGCAGTTGTCTGGATGTCAGGAAGGAACTTTATAATAGATTTTGCCTTGTGACAAGACGCCGAGTCATGCATAAACGTGAAACTTTTATTCAGAAACCTTCCTGGGCCTGGGCAAGCATGTTTACTTGCAATTCTCTTAAATACTGGTCCTGCCGCATTGTTTCTTCGACAATGTAGAATCTACTAGTTCCTTAACACCTTATGGTACCACACCATGATGTTTAGGGGATACTTTACCGTCCTTACAATACAATCAGCTTTACGTTTTCCTCATGTCTTCCCCTTACAAATTCAGCTCTATCCATGAGGATCTGTACGGTAGATTCGTCCGAGAAACAAACCTGGAATATTATTATTATTTTAGAATAATGGACATACATAAAAGAAAAAGAATGCTACGCAATGTTATTTACCTGATTCCAATCATCAATGGTCAAATCTTTGTGATCTTAAGCCCACTGAAGGCTTTTTTTCTTGGTGGCTGGTATGAGTATCAGCTTTTTTGCAGGGCGACAGGTTGAAAACCCCAGATCCTTTATTCGCTGATAAGTTGGTAAAATACTAATGCCAGACTCATGTACCATTTTCGTTCAAAACCTTTAAGGTTTTTTCTGTGCCAAGACAATATCTCGAATTTTTCTTTCATGCGGTGTTGTAATTTTTTTTTTCGACCAGATTTTTGTTTGTGCCGTGGAGTCAAATCCAAATTTTTTCTTTATACAGTCCATAGTTACCCTTGAAACTTGAGAAATTGATGCTATTTTTCTGTTGGAGTGATTATTGTTCAATAATGAAGTTTTTATTTCCACTATTTTCCTTCTGAAATGGATGTTTCTGGCTTCTCCCATGATACCACTGGTGTAACAAACATGCAATGTGTGTTAAACACCAAGAATACAAAACAATATGCACACGAGTTGCAAGCTAGGCTGGACAGCACTGATAAACAATGGCATCTGAGTCATGAATTGCCACGCCCGCTGTGGTCAGACCATCGAGCAAAAAGACAATAGAGGGAATGTAAAGGTAGTGGGGGCAAACATATTGTTAGACAGGAAGTGCGATCTTTAGAGGCCACATTAAACAAGGAAAGAGAGTCTCTCTCCTTGTTTGACATCAAATTTAGTTGGGTTATGTTATGTTTGTCCCAAATGTCACATGAAATCTTATTTACATTGAAGTTTTTTAACAATTGTGTCGCATTTTAGACTCTTATCATTAATAATAAATTAAAACTTTCTCGTCTAAGACACATTCTGAAAAATATTATATAGCTACTGTTGATAAGTGTCGGAAAATTTAAATTTCGCGCATTCGCATTTCCGGATATGTCCGCCATCAGAGGCCACTTTTTTGGTCTCCTTTTCATAAGGATTAGATTCCCTCTTTTGTCTTATTGCTCGATGGGTCAGACTATTTATTGTACTTTCATAAAGTGTTACAAAATAATCAAATAGAAACAAACGCAGTAATATAACTCAATTATATACCCTTTTTGTAAAAAAAAATTAAATTTTGATAGGTGGCTCTAATAATTTGATCACCCACTGTTTATGCCGATGACTTAATTATTTATTTATATTTTAGGGACCAATAATAATAATGATACTAGTGAAGTATTTCAGGTTTTGCTCTAATAAAGCAATATGTGTAATATTTTCAAAAATACATTTCGAGGATAAATCGAACCTAATACTTGAAAACAAAAATCTTTTCTATACAAACGAAATAAAATTTCTAGGAGTGATATTTGATCAACAGTTAAATTGGAAAAGTCATATCCAGCAGTTAGTTCCTTTATCTCGAAATGGCCTTAACTTGTTAAAGTACCTAGCTCACAAAACTTGTGGTGCCGATGGTAAAACACTATTTATGTTATACAGATCCTTAATTCGTTCAAAAATTGATTACGGATATGTTGTATATGCATCTGCTAGCACAACAACGGGATACGTTACATAACACATTATTTCTATCGCCCCAATTTGAACAATCATTTTACTATGACTGTAATAGGTACTTTTGTATCCCTTTTAATTATACACAAAAAACATTTTTAACTTGTAACAACAAGCAGACAAAGTGAAGCAAATCTTCTACCTTCTATTTTATAAATAACTTGTTCAGGTATCTCCTACAATAACCTATATAAGGGACTTTGCCACAAAAGTTGATCACCCTGTATGCCACAAGTACTGGGAAAGATCGTCAACCAGAATGGTCTGCCACAGAAGAGTTTTTTTTCCTGGGTTTTATTTCTAATATTATTCTGTTTAAGAAATTATTAAAAAGTAAATTGTAACACCCTATCTATTCATTCATAAAAATTGGAAAAAAACATTTTTTAATAATATGGCCATTTTTATGGTATATACAATGCTGTTCAATAAGTTTTGTGGTACGAAATTCCAATTTATTAATTGCATCCCTAAACATCTGTCTTGGTTTAAAAAACAACTCAATTTATCAAACTGTGATACATATTGGAAATATCTTTGATGTCAGTCTTATTATTGATACAATTTAGATCTTTTTTTAAGTGCATCATCTCCAATATGCATCTTTTGTTGCGGTTTTTTTCTGTTTCCAAAATCATTTAATCGTTAAAGAGTACAAACATAAGAATATAACTGTAATGTACTGTTTAAAAAATTTGGTACTTATTGAAACTGGCAAATAAAAGTTTAAGTAATATTTAAGTATTTTTATTAAAAACAGTTCGAAAAACCAAAACTTAAAGGCTATATTTGTAAGACGGTTCAATACGTTTGGCGTTTCGATAATAGAGGACACTGCTACTAGATTAAATTATATTGGCACAATCTTAATATGAACGTATGTGAAGTTTCTTTCAGTATTTTTTTACAATAAAAAAATCAAGTACTATGCATTCATTGAATGTTGCTTTTGGAAGGTTTAAAACCAAAGGAAATTTATAAACGAATATTGAAAATGTATAACGACTGTTCGCTTTCAATTAGTACAGTAGAAAGATGGGTTGCTGAATTTAAACCTGGACATATAAGCTTCGAAGACGAAGATCCACGTCAAAAACGTCAGAAATCGTAGAAAAAGTACAGGATATCGTATTTACAGAATTGTCGAGTGACAAAGAGATTTACAATATACTCAGAACAATAGAACAAAACCATATTCTAATGCGACTTTCTCAGCAATACTTAGAGCGTTTTCGAAAAGATAAAATGGATTTTGAGCATCGATTCATCACTATGGATGAGCCTTTCGTCTACCTCTATAATCTTGAATCAAAACAAGATGATAAATAGTGGTGTGAAACTGGTTCCTCCGCTCCAGAACGAGTTCATGTCCAGAAATCGATCAAAAAGGTGTTAGCATAATGTTTTAGCATATGCGAAAAGAATTTTGTTTGTAGTTTACTTGTAAATTGGTAAAACAGTAAATTTTTGAATATTATTGTAACCTTTTAGATCAGCTGAAGAAAAAAGTCGTGAAAAAAAGACTCATTTTGCAGAAGGAAAAATTCCATTTTCATCAGGACGATATACTGTGTCATATGAGCATTTTGACAATGAGATAAGTCCATGAAATAAAGTTCGAATTGTAGGAACATCCACCGTAATCATCAGATTTGGCTCCTAGCGAGTTTTATTTCACTACCTAAAAATTCATGAGTGGAAAACGTTTTTTATCAAATGATTAGGTCATAACAGCTGTGGAAGTGTATTTTACAGTCCTTCCAAATTCTCACCTCAGGGATCGAATTCATAAATTGGAATCTCGTTGGAACGAGTGTATTGATGTTCAAGGAGATTATACTAGTGTGTAGTGTATTTTAAACCATAAAATATTGTTTTTATTCTCAAACAGCCAAACTTATTCCAGATAATTGGCCATGTTTTTTTCAATTTTTTTTGAAGAGAAACACAATAAGTAAGAAATTAAACCCAGGTGAAAAACTCTCGGTTACAGATCATTTTGGCTGACGACCCTTCCCAGGTCCCGTGACGTGGAGGACAATATTTATCAACACAACAATAGCCTGCAAAATTTCAAAAGACTATTCTCGTATATTTATTTTTTGCTTACCGAGTCTGCTACTGCCCGTCTCAATTTTTTCTCTATTTCTATCATCACTGACATATCACTATAAGTAGCAACTGCAAGGGTATACTCTAACTGCGTGGGATTCAATGACATTTTGCACACGACTTCGTCATGGGAGAAAACACAGAATCTTCTCAAATTAGAATAATGTAAAACGCATTCCCGACCTACACTTAACCAATCTGCGGGAGCGAAGTTGACTGCTTCAGCAAAATTATACCTACAACAATAATTATAAGACTTAAGACTACTGATAAGTTTGTAATAGTTACCCTTGGTTAAATCCAGCGTGATAGGCGCGAGGAAAAGTTACTATAAATTCACCAGCATGTTGATTCATTTTATATACTTTAATACCATTGTTCATCAATATGTTTGGGTTCATTATTGTAACTAATTGGTGAAGTAAATCAGGTTGAGCTTGAAATAATTCTGGCGCTACAGACTTCATGGTTTCTTCGAATTCTTCTGCCTGCCTACCAGCAACTCCATACCAAGTTTTAGGTTCTCCCCAATGCAAATAATTGATCGAATAACTCCAATGGTCCTCGTTATGCCAACAAAATGTAGAAAAACACATTCCGACGTACATCCAAGGCACCTAAAGCAATAATTTATTAGGTGAAACAATTATAACAAAAATGATCATATTTTTAGGTTAAACAATTCTTTCAGTGCAAGATCTGAACAAACCTATTCGAAAAAAGTTCAACATTGAGAAACTACAAAATAACGAGACGAAAGTAGAATTCGCACGACAGCTGAGATCCAAAATCGACGAAAGACAGGACAAAAATTGGGAAACGATTAGCAAAGCCCTTGTGGAAACAAGTGAAAACGTGCTGGGCCTAAAGAAAGACGTAAAGAAAGAGTGGATTACGAGAGAAACGTGGAACAAAATGGAACGTCGCAAACACATTAATCTAGAATTACTAAATTCCAAGACAGCAGCAGAGAAGAACCGTCTTAGAGAAAGTTATAGAGAAGCGAATAAAGCTGTTAAGAAGGCAGCAAAGAAAGACAAAAGAAAGTGGGCAGAAAATCTTGCCGAAGAAGCGCGAGTCGACGATGAACATCAAAACATGAGACAATTATATAATATCACTAAACAACTAGCCAATAAAAGATATACTACCCACCAACCAATTGTAAAAAGTGCTACAGGTGAAGATATTACAACGCCACAGGAAAAAGTCAAAAGATGGCATGAATATTTTAGCGAATCTCTAAGTGCAGTCCCAACACCACCAGAAGACGCAGAAAACCTAATACCCAATATCCAACTGAGAATTAACACCAACGAACTAACAACGCAAGAAATAGAAATGGCCATAGAAAAACTAAAAGCACACAAAGCAGCCGACCCTGACAATATTCCACCAGAGTTGTTAAAAGCTTGCCCAGGTACAGTGGCAGAGCTAATCCAACCACTCTTGAAAAGGGCTTGGAGAGAGGAAAAGTTCCCCAAAGAATGGAAAACGGGATTAATAATAAAGATACCAAAAAAGGGTGACAGAAGATATTGCGAAAACTGGAGAGGAATCACACTTCTGAATACTATAAATAAATTAAAAGCAATAATTATAAACAACCGACTAACAAACAGTGTAGAACCAATGTTGAGGAAGGAACAAGCCGGTTTCAGACCAAACAGATCATGCGTGGACCAAATTAACACACTAAGAATAATTGTAGAACAGTCACAGGAATTCAACTCTCCTCTCTTTGTGTGCTTTGTGGACTTCAAGAGAGCTTTTGACACGCTCACATATACGGCCATATGGAAAGCACTGCAGGAAATAGGAATACCAGAAAAAATAGTAAATCTCATCAAAGAACTCTACAGTGACACAGAAAGCAAAATCCTACACAACGGCATAACATCTGACCCAATAGCTATGCTAAACGGAGTAAAGCAGGGCTGTGTTTTATCCCCCATACTATTTAACATTGTACTGGACTCCGTACTAACAAAGGTAAACTCTAATAGAGGAATTTACTGGGGATTAACAAACAGACTGGAAGACCTAGATTACGCTGATGATATATGCCTCCTAGCACATACAAAACAGGACATGCAACTCCAAGTAAAAAAAGTACAAGAAGAATCAAAGAAGGTTGGTCTATAAATAAACATCAACAAAACCAAAGAAATGCGATTTGGTACCAGAAACAACCAACCTATTATGATCAACGACCAGAAAATTGAGAGAGTAGCGGAATTTGTATATCTGGGCAGCATAATTGACTGTAATGGGGGTACAGAGCGTGATGTACATGAAAGAATAAATAAGGCTCGCAACGCCTACAACATGCTTAACAACATATGGAAATCCAGGATTTACCTAACTAAAACGAAATTAAAAATCTTCAACACAAATGTAAAAGCTGTATTATTGTATGGCTGCGAAACGTGGAAGATATCAGCACCCATAGTACACCAATTACAAGTTTTCATCAATAGAGCGTTACGAAAAATCCTTCGTATATTTTGGCCTAACCGAATCTCCAATGAAAATTTATGGAACCAAAGCAACCAAGAAAATGTCATAAAGCAAATAAGGCGAAGAAAATGGAGATGGCTGGGCCACACACTCCGTAGACCGCCAAATGACATTGCCAGGACAGCGCTGGATTGGAATCCCCAAGGCCGACGGAAAGTAGGCAGACCTAAGGGAACTTGGAGAAGGACAGTACTGGACGAAGGGAGAAAAATGGGAAAATCCTGGCTTGAAATCAAAGCACTAGCCAGAAATAGAGTTCGCTGGAGACACTTTGTGGAAGCCCTATGTTCCTCTTAGGAATCTTGGGACTATATATATATATATATATATATATATATATATATATATATATACATATATATATATATATATATATATATATATATATATATATATATATATATATATATATATATATAAGATGAAAAGAACAGAGAGAATATATTCCCCATGTCTTTCTTTTCATCTTATTCATCGTTTGTTTTGTCTTGCAATTTATAGAAGGTACAGATTAAAGCAAAAATCTGAAGTTTGGTTTCGTCAACCAAGAAAACTTCACATTTTTTACTTTGTGTTTTTATTGTCAGATGTCCATATGGGAAGCGTCCATATTGAAGCCATTTTATTATTGCTTCTTTTGACACAAAATATTTAATTTAACTTGTAGAGCTTCTGTACCCGTCGCTCTGATGAATCCTGCTATAATCCTCACTATACGTAAAATCAAAGCTTAACTGTCTGTTCCTTTAAGAATAAGGGTTTGAGTAAATAATAAGTATACATACCTTCATTCCGGATATATCTGCATTGATGTGGCCTAGTACAGAACCTGGTAAAACGGGTAAATTATTCAAATTCCATCCAGATTCCGCATACTGTTTTTCCAGGTCGGATAAATTTGCAGAACTGGCAGTAGGAAAACCAGAACCGTGATCCATGGTATGTAAATCTGCCCCATATTCAACTGTGACATCTTCATCTATTGTTGACATAATACGCCAGTACTCTTGTTCTACTGTTTCGAGTGGGACTTTCTGCAACATTTAAAACTTATATTTGTATAGAACAATATATACAGTGATCAACTTTTGTCACAAAGTCGGCTGGATTTGTTATAAGATTTATTTATAAAAAGATATAGGGGTTTGGACAGCGGGAGGCTCCCATAATTTCCATTTCACTAGACAAGCGTAACCGCAAATATAACTTGAAGTGCATTTCTGTATTCTTAGTATATCTGTCTAGACGCCAAGCCTGTAGGTTACTTTGTTTTGATGCTAGGTCATTTTAGAAATTTTCCATGCTGTTCTAATATTTAGCAATTTGAAACTATGTTTTTAATTAGCTGGTTTTGTTTGTTTTGGTATATTGATTGAGCATTACTATTCATCATCATCATCAATCAGCCCTGAGTTGTCCATTGTTGAACATAAGCCTCCTCTAGATTTTTCCATCTGCTTTTGTTCTGCGCTTCTGCTATCCAATTGGTCACGATTCTGTTGAGGTCGTCGGTCCATCGCGTTGGGGGTCTTCCTCGGCTTCGCTTGTCAGCCCGTGGTCTCCACACAAGCAATTTTTTTGTCCAACTGTCGTCTTTCATTCTTGCAACATGTCCTGCCTATCTCCATTTTGCCTTGTAATATGTTCGATAATGTCTTCCACTCCGGTTCGTCTACGAACTTCCTCGTTTCTTATTCTATTTCTTAAGCTTATTCCAAGCATTGATTTCTCCATCTTTCGTTGTGTCCTTCTCAATTTTTCGACTGATGTTTTTGTGGGAGTTAAGGTTTCTGCTCTGTATGTGAGGACTGGTAGAAGGTACTGGTTAAAAGCTTTTCTTTTTAAATGGATCGGTATATTTGTTTTAAATACGTCTCTTATTTTTCCGAATGCAGCCCAATCCAGACTTATTTTTCTGAGTAACTCGCATGTTTGGTTATCTCGCGTTAACCTTATTTCGTGACCCAAATACACATATTTTTCCACAAGTTCTATGGGCGACTTTTCGATTTCTATTAGCTCATTGGGGACGAGGTTGGTCATCGTTTTTGTTTTTCCATAGTTTATCTTTAAACCGACTTTCTGGGTTACTTGCTGTAGTTGTTGTAGCATAACTCTGGCTTCTCCTAAGTTGTCTGTTATGAGAACAATATCATCGGCATATCTGAGATGATTGAATATCTTTCCATCGATGCTAATTTCCTTTGATTCCCACTCTAGCCGTTTAAATGCGTACTCCATAACTGTTACAAATAGTTTTGGCGACGAGGTATCTCCCTGCCGCACCCCTCTGCCAATTTTTATCTTCTCAGTCATGCAATGGAGGTTAACGGTTGTTGTCGCATTTTCGTATATATTTCGAATAATATTATTTGCATACCAGTGATCTATTCTGCATTCCGATAGTGCTTTTAAGATAGCAACTTTTCGACTGTGTCAAATGCTTTGTGGAAGTCGACAAGGGGTCTGTTATATTCCATAGACTTTTCAACTAGAGTTTTAAGGCATTGCAAATGGTCGTTTGTTCCGTGTCCCTCTCGAAATCCTGCCTGTTCTTCTGATTGATAGAAATCGAGTTTTGCTTCTAATCTGTTTGTCAGTATTCGAGTAAAGAGCTTGTATAGGTATAGGCTTAGGCTGTAGCGGAGGGTATGGACACCTGTCCAAACCTCCCCAAAAGTGTCCAAACCCTCCCTAATTTATAAAATTGTTACAGAAAACATGCCGTATAGATAAAGCAACCGAAGGAATATTTCCCGAAGAAGATATGCGAAGTGCAACAGCTGGAAAGTTTTCTATCAGAAAAAGTGCTCAACAGCATGAAGTTAAAAAATCAACACTAGCTTTATATGTAAAGAATGCTAGGAAAGTAGGAATTGACAATACGTTTTCTCCACATTTTGTCACATGCCAAGTGTTTTCTAATTAAATGGAAGCTTCCCTTGCGTTGTACCTTTTTCTAATATGTACTATGGTTTAACTCCAAAACGGACTCGTAGATTAGCATATCAATTTGTCAAAAAAAAAACGAAGTAAAATTTCCAGAGCCTTGGAAAGTAAACAAATCAGCTGGAAAGGACTGGTTTACAAAATTTTTAAGTCGACCATCTGAACTATCCTTACGAGCCCCGGAGAACACAAGCTTAGCGAGAATTTTCAGTTTCAATAAATCGACAGTCGGTAAATTTCAAGGTAAGTTAGAGGAGATTCGAAAAAAGGCATAACTTCACTGTATCAGACATATTTAATTTAGACGAGATGGGCGTAACCACAGTTCAAAAAACTCAAAAAGTAGTTGCTACTAAAGGTCAGCATCAAGTTGGTAAAGTAGTGTCACCTAAGAGAGAACTGATTACTCAAGTATTGGAGCGAATGGAACAGCACTTCCACCAGTGTGGGTGTTTCCAAGGAAAAAATGTGATAAACATAGAATGCTAAATGGTATTCCAGAAGAGTATGGTGCAACCGATTTAGTGCATTCATTTGGATGGATGACCAGTGATATCTTTTAATAGTTTTAGAGAATTTTGTATCTCATGTTCAGTGTTCTAAAGAACGCCAAGTTATTTTAGTTATGGATAATAATGAATCCCATTTATCTGTTTCTGCTATTAATTACTGCAGAGATAATGGAATTACAATTTTAACTTTTCCATCCCACATATCTAACAAATTGCAACCATTAGATAGGACTGTGTTTGGACCATTTAAAAGGTGTTTCAATCAAGGAGCAGATAACTGGATGCTTTCTCATCCAGGAAAGGCATTATCAATTTATGACCTTGCACCAATATGTATGAAAGGTTTGGGATCGATCTGCAACTCCTTCCAGATAAAATCTGGATTTCGTTAAGCTGGAATTTGGTCATTGGATAAAAATATTTTTGGTGACGAAGACTTTCTATGCTCGTTTGTAACAGACAGAATGGTTCCTTCAACATCAAAAGACCCCAATGTTTCTTCATCAAGTGAATTTTCAAATCAAAATGTGGAGGTGTCATCGCAATTCAGCCTCTCTGCATTGTCACAGCCCGACACTCTACTTCATATCGAGTCAGATGCTTCGCATCTCTACGACATGCATGGCTTGCTTGAGCACACCTTTGTCAAAGTAGGTGTAAACTATTATAGTTTTGTAAATTTCTGGTTTATCTCTTGTTATTAAGATGATCAAATATGTCGAGCTGACACAGTGTCACTCAATTATATAGTCTCCTATGAAAACAGTTCATCCATTTATTCGTCATTAAATGGCGGGTATAGAGTATAGACTACAACCAAAGTGTATGGTTAAATAACCATAATTTACTGCAATTCATTTTTATTCTCGGCTAAAGAAGATTGACATTAGCTCAAACTTTATTAATGTACTCTTTAAAGTATACAGTGGCCAATAAAGTGTTCAAAAGATCCATCAGTGTATCAGGGGTATATATTTTTTTCAATTTTCTTGTATGTCTAGAAATTTAATAATCATTTTATAGACTCAATGTATTTAGATTGCATTTAAGACAGAGAACTACGAAAACAGAGAAGCGACACGAGGCCCGGAATTCGTGTATCTTTTCTGTATACGCATGACCCAAATAAGGTGCTTTACTGTCAAAAACACGTGCGTTTTCTTCAACTTTAGTCGCTTACGATAGTCCATAGGCATCTGTGGTAAACTCTCGACTATACAAGTGCATTTGACCATTTATCTAATTTACTTAGTAGTTAAAAGTTTATAGTTATAGTTTATAGTTATAGTTTATAGTTATAGTTAAAATATATAAGTTTATAGTTATAGTTTATAGTTAAAAGTTTAATTTACTTATAAGTATTTAAAATATCTTCTGGTTATTGTTGTGCGTTTCGCGGATGTTCATCTGTGACAGGAAAAGGAATAAGTTTATTTAGATTTCCTAAGAATAATAACAGGTAATTACTATTGCTTTGTAATTATTATTAGTTATTACATAATAGTATTAATTTGACTTTGAGTAAGCCGACACCGACGTGTCCGCCCGAGCTCTCGTTAAGTGAAGCAATAAAAAAATAAATTTTGGTTTGCCAGGGGATAGTTCAGAATAAAAACCAGAGAACTACGAACACACATTAAATTTATTGTCTCCGAAGGCTCAGGTCAAAAAATCAACACAGATGTTGGCCTACTGGTGTGAAAGCGCTCGCAGACAACAATACGAATATAGTATTTTTAGGAAATAAAAATATATAGAGGGTTTTATACACGAGAATATTTGATTTAAACGAAACAAAGAAATTCCTAAAATGCTCAAACTAAAAATTGTTCGAAACATAATTAGATCGAAAATTGGGAAAATCTTAAAATTACAACAGAACAAGACTTCAAAATAAAAACATGATTGCAAATAAACAAACTTACATTAACTTAACTTCAAATATTTGCTGTCTTTTTCACCGAACAAACTTACATTAAATTATGAAAAAACTAAATGCTCATCTACTTTTTGCTATATACAAAAGTTGTCTGTCAATGTTTAATTCGTTAAATATAAATAACAAAGACCAAATATATGGATCGGAGTACACAACATATTTAAGGAATAAATATTTAAATGGAAATTACAAATAAAAAATATTAAAACTTTATTTATTGTATATCTCAATATTTAGTGACAATTTTGAGACTTAATTAGGAGAAAACTGTAAATTTATTAAGATGAGATATTGACAAAAGTTAAATACTTCATTACTTACAATACACTTAGAATATACTAATACTCTTTTAGTTGTAAGTAATGAAGTATTATTTATAAATACAAAAAAATCTTTGTTTAAAATTTGTTCTGTTAAAATTTTGTAGTGCCAAAATGTGGATAGAAGCTTGCAGACGAGAAGATTTATTGTTAAAAATGGATATACTTTATAATAGTTATAGGATTTGTGAACTACATTTTGAAGATAATCTTATTGTCAAAAAAAATATAAAAGAAAATCACTGGTGCATGACGAAGTACCTTCCAAATTTCAATATAATACGATAAACACAATTGGGAAATATTAAAATTAC